AAAATAATCTTATTTTGAAAAATGGAGAAGAATAATATTTAATGTAAATTATCACAAGTGAGATATATGACGAATTGACAAAATGTTTTGCCCTACAACCCTCTATGTTAAATAAATTACATATTTATCATGACTCATATATATATATATATAAAGACTTAAGAAAAGATAAAAATTTTCTCGTTTGATATTCAATTAATATTATAAATGAAAACTGTTGTTAAATCAAATGTTCCTTTAATTTCAAATAGTTTTGTAACATGTTATTCTGATTATTTTGTTATAAATTTATATTATTTTCCATTTGGTAATAAAAAACTAAACTATAATGATATTCGTTCATGTAAATTACATTCAACAGATGATCTTGGTATGTTATCATGCAAATCATGGGGAATGTCATTAACACCTGTTTGGTGGCACTATGATACGAAACGTTTCATGCGCAAAAATTATATATTATTAGATACAAATCATTGGCCACAAATTGGTCTAACAATGGATGATAACGATTTAATTAATGTTTATTATTTAATAAAGAAAAAAATGTCTTTTAATCAATCGAATATTTATAATGAAAATTTAATTTATGATTCATCAAAAATTATCTCTGAAAAAGAAGTTGAATATCAAAAATCTCTTCAAAACATTAAAAAAAATTAAAAAAAATTTTTAAAAATAATTCAGATAAACAAATATATGATTTTATACAATTAATTTTTTTTTATTTTTCAAAGATTTTTTAGTTAATTAAAACAGAAGTTAATTATTGTATCAAACGAAATTATTACAATTGATGAATATTTATTTATGCAGAAATATATTTTTTTTTTCTTTTATTTTCTTAAGCAATTTATATTTATTCAATAATTAACTTCTGTTTTATAATTTTCTTTAATATCTTCTTCAATTTAAAAAGACTTTTAAATAAATAAATGTCGTGAACAAAAAAAAAGTTTATTTACAAATTCCATAAATAAATAAATAAATAAATCGAATTTTCTAATAATATTGTTAATCAATTG